CTATTTATAGATAAGACTTTAATAAAGTAATAATTATGGTTTTTTTTTTTTCATTTTCACCCTTGATTTATCAGATGTCTGTTCAATGATTATGCTAGTATCAAAAAAACAAATTAATAAGGAGGATGTAAACATTACTTATTTTAATTTTTAATATAATATATATATTATTTTTAAACATATAATGCTGCTTATTAGCTGATTATTCTTTTAAATTATTTCACTGAACACTTTTAAATGTAATTTCTTTAATATTACATTTTAACGAAAAAAAATTCATATATTCCATAGTAATCCATATATAATCCCAAAAAAAAAGGAAAATAATAAAAAAATATGTTCTCATAAAATTTTTTAAGTCAGCGTCATATACCAAAAAAAAAATTTACATATATGACATTTTCATTATTTAATTGTAAATACATATACCAAAAAAAAATAATTATTTATTTATTTATTTATTTTTTAGTGTACTTACCTTAGTGTAAGTATTTTTTTTTTTTAATGTGAACGCATTATAACTATATTAGTATACTCATTTATAATTGTGAGCTGTCCCCGTGATTCATCATGTACAAAATAAAATGTTTTAACTCTATTTATTGATCTAAATACCATATAAAAGAGGTCTGCAGTATTACTTATAGATGGACTCTCTAAGAAAAATTAAAAAAGTATAGAAAAATTATTAAATTCAATATGTATGCAATTTTTTTTGTATATTTACTTTTTATAAATTGACAAAATATTAGAAAAAATGGGGAAAATATATGTATATGAGTAAATAAACACAATGAAAGAGTCAACACATAAATTTCTTATTGGTAATTTAATTATATACCGTCCAAAAGCTTTATATATATAACACGCAACAAAAATTATAATAATTCAAAATGGCATAAAAGGTAATGCTAAAACAGAAGAAAAACTTATATTATTTTGATCAGGCATATCTCTAGAGTTTATAAACCTTATGACTAACCCTTCTGGTTTTATTATTATATTATTTTATGAATTAATTTCTAGATTTTTGCATGTAATTAATTTATTAATATTCTCATATTTACACAAATAAAGAAGAAATTCAAACTTCAAATCACCTTTTATATAACTATTTGAAAGACATATCATTTGTTCATTTCCTTTGTGAAATTTTTAGTAACTCTGTAAATGAATAAATTTTTCATTAAATTAAGAATCTACTCATGTTTTGTAACAATTATGATCCTTCTAACATAAGGAATATCTGCAAACATTATATAAGAGAGATCATATATATGCCATGTGGTAGGAATTTTTACTAAAAAATATATTGTTATACTTTAACCTACTGGTTATATATTTTGGATTTTTAAAATTTTTTAAACTAACTAGATAATTGCGTGTATCTTGTCTAATGATAATGCCAAAAAAATTAAACTAAAGTCTCTTTTTTAAATAATTTACATTAACATAATAACATAATTTTACTTTTTGGTTTACTGTTTTAGGTAACATAAATGTATTCTCAAATGCACATGAAGATCTTGAATATATTCAAATGGAAAAACAACATTTTCTGAAAGAACAATTATCCCAGTATTATCTACCACAGGACCTAAATTTTTATATGTAAATTTATTTTTTTGAAAAGTCACTTGAAAGAAGTTTTACTTTAATTAACTCAAAAGAAGATTTACATTGTGCGGTATGAAGTCTACTGCTATGTATAATACATACAAGCAATTGCAACTAGTAAAGTTTCCATTGCAATTTTTATATATCTTGTTGCATAGAAGTGACATTTTTAAAATTTATATAAGATTTATTTGCTTTTACTAATCCTTATCCCTCATATTTCTGTAAGTATTTTTCTTAATATATTTAAAAGATTTATTTGCTGAGAATCATAACTTTATTTTTTTTTATTTCTTATAAAAAATATAATTTCTAATAAAATACACAATATTTATAGGATAATTAAAATTGGTCTTCATAATAATTTATTTAATTATTAAAATTTAACTATATTCATTCCCTTTCTTTAAAAAATACGTTGTTATAAAATTTGTCTTGCATAAAACATATTTATTTAGACATATATTATTGTTCATCATTTTTTTCTGAATTATAAAAAAAAAAGAAAGATTCAAAAAAAAATTTTTCACAATAGATTTTACAAAAAGTAGTAATATTTATTCGAGAAAAATTTCAAGATAGAGTAATATTTTTCCTTAAATAAATAAAAAAAATTTTAAATATATCAAGGAAAAAATATTTTTTTTTAGGAGTTATTAAGAAAACAAAAATACAATATGTGCTATAATATTATTGCTTCTAGAACTATCATTAAAATTATAACTATATAATATTAGTTATGTAAGAAAAAAAATAATATATAAAATATTATTAAAATTTATAATTTTATTTTAATAACTACATATAGATAGTGATGAAATAATAATACTACATAAAAGATAATTTTTAGATAAACAAAAAAATAGAAATGAAACAAAATTGCACGTACAACATTACTTATATAAATAAATAAGAGAAAAATATAAAAAAAAAAAAATATATACAAATTTATTATTATAAATAAAATATATCTGAATTAAGTTACATTTAATTTAACAATGATAATAATAAAAAACATATTGAATTTATTTTAATAATTACCTAATAATTTTATAAATTGGTTCAATTTTAGCAATAAAAATAGAAAAAAATGAGAATACAGTAAAACTTATGTACATACAATAATGGTATCTTATAAAAAAAATTATAAAAAAAAAATTAAATACAATTATTAAAATTACGGTTTATAAAGAAAAATGATTTGTAACTATTGCCGTAACTATATTAAATGCACACTATATATGTTTGAACGTTGATTAAAAAATGATTTAACTTGAAACTTAAATTCTAATAATATAAAAAAATAATTTTAGATTATATGTGTGAATAGAGAATTACGTGCTTAAACATTATTACTAAAAACTTTAGGTGAAAAAGAAAAAATTAAAATAAATATAAAAATAAATATAGTGTAGATGTAAGTTAAAATAATAAATATATTTTAGTGATAATATGATAAAATAATTATAAAGAAATTTAACATTATAAAAAAAAAAAAAAAAAATATAATTTTATATAAAGTGAACTATTTGATTAAAGAAAAATAAAAGAAAAACAAAAACAACAATCAATAAATTAAAAAAATAATGATAAAAAATAGAAATTTTCAAAACTAAGAAAAATATATATAAAAATAATTACTTTGAATTTACAATAATGCCAATAAAATTACAATCTGATGATATAAAATTTATTATTTAATACAAACATATTTAATAATTATAAATATGTTTTATTAATTGCCTGTTCAGTGACTTTTCTGGAACACTAAGCAAACAAATTAAAAGCACATAGAGTTTTCTCAGTGGATTTAATGAATTCATGAATAATTTCCCATGTTATAAACAAGTAAACTATATTTATACAATCTACTATGTTGAGAATTAATTAGCTTTTAAGAGGTATTTATTTAATTTAATAAGAATTGTATTATACTTATTAAAAATATAAATACTCATTAATTTTCAATTTGTACATGTATATTTTTTTAATCATAGTCATACGAATGGTGTTTAACACTTAAGTATATTATGTTAAATTATCAAACGTACACAATTAATAAAATATAAATTATACTATATAAATAGTAGTATATAAAAATTATATTATTATTAATATAAAATTTCCTCATAAAAATTCAAAATATAAATTCCGTACAAAAGACATTCTTTTGTAAAAAAAAAAATATCAGAAATATTTTTTTTTTTTAACTAGCACTTGCATAAATAACTATTTATTTTCCATATAGATTATTATTTTCACTTTCACAAAGGTTAATAATTCTTTTTATTAACCAGAAAGAAATTGTTAATCTTTTTGAGAATAAAAAGAATTAGCTATATGGAACATAAATAATTATCCGTACAAACTCTAGATAAAAAAACATAATAGTTACCAATTATTTTTGCTTTCTTTTTGTAATTTAAAATATATAAATAAGTATTTTTATTTTTTTTAAAATGATTGATGGTTGAAGAACAGAAGGAAATATTTTTAAAAAAAAATTTCTTTTTAGACAAATATTATCTAAATTTATATAGGAAAACGATATATTTACGATAACAAAATTTTCATATTTCATAGTATTTATATAATTTAATTCGTATTTTGTTAATTATTTATTTTTGTTAAGTTGAGAGCAATGAATTGACTGCTAGACATAATTCATAATATTATAAATAAAATTTGTATAATTAAAATAAGTAGTTAATGAGGATTTATATTTTTAACAAAAATATAAGATTTTCATTAAAGTAAATAAATGCTTAAGGAAGTAGACTATATAAACAAATTTTATTGGTTCATATAATTAAAACTAAATTTAAAATTATTAAATTATTGAAGAGAACTTTACATGGTCTTTATAAATATATTTGTTCAATTCTCTTGCTTAGTCATTCAATAGGCAATTAATAAAAGCAAGGTCACTGAACGAGCAATTAGTGAATTATTAAAACACATATTAATATAAATACAAATAAAGATAAAATACTTTTTTTTTTATGGTTTTAGAAATTAGTTTTATATGTTTAAAAATTAATCTAACAAAAAAAATTTTTAAAAGACAAATACAAACGATTTCAATAAAAACTTACCATTAAATAAAATATGTTTCTATGTAAATTAAATTATTTTTCCATCATTTTTTTTTTTTAATTAAAATTTTTTTTAAAAAAATATAATTAATAAAAACATCTATATAAAAATAAAAAAAATTAATTTTATTATTTAGAACTATAAAATATGTATGATTAGATTTCTATGCTTGCTTGGATAACACAAGATATTAAATTATAGAGAATTAATAATATATTAATCCATATGCATAATAAGAGTACTAATCTATTAAACAAACACATGCAGAGCATGTATTGTACTAGGATTTATAATATGGTAATATCCCAATTATCTTTTAGAACATTTTCTTCATTTTCTTCATTTTCTTCATTTTCTTCCTTCTCTTCATTTTCTTCATTCTCTTCATTTTCTTTATTTTCTTCTTCTATTTGTTCATCTTTATATTTATTTTTCAGAGATTTTTTTAGTTTTTGTTTATTCCATTTTTTTAAAAAATTTCTCTGTTTTTCTAGCCATTGTCTCTCAGATACTTGTCTTTCAAATATAAAGTCTTTAATTTCTACTTTTGTATCACCTAATATTTTTGATTCTTCCACATCATTTATATGTCCTGTTTTATGCCAATTTAATTTCATTTCATGAAACCATTCTTCTCGTTTCCAGGATTCCCATTGTTCTTTCTTTTTCTTTATTATATCATTTATAATTTCTTCTTTTTCTTCATCATTAATTTCTTTTTTTGTAATTCCATGTTCATTTAACCCTTTATAGCCATTTTTTCTTTCTATATATGTTTTCAGAAATTCTTTTTTCATATATTCTATTTCTTCTTTCTTGCACTGATCCAATATCATCATATATATTTCAATCCACAATTTAGATATCAAATTTATCCTCTCTATCTTTTCACTAACCTCATCTTTTATATCAACTGATTTTGGATCACTTTCAATGTTATATATATTATTTTTTTTTTCTTTTGTTTGTTCATCTTCTCTTTCATACTTATCTTCTTCCTGGTTATACTCGTCTAACAGCTTATTAAACAATATCTCCTTGTCATATTGTGTAAGTAAACTTCTTTGCTTCTTTATCCATTGACTCCATATATTATTTTTCTTCTCTAATGCTACACTTATATATGTGTTATCTGTTCCTTCAATGGATTTTTTTTCATCTATTGTTCCTACATGTATATTTTCTTCTTTTTTCCATTCCTCCATTAAACTATTAAACCAACCTTCTGTCCTCCATTTTTCCAATATTTTATTATGTCTTTCTATCAATTTGCTTGAAAACATTTTTTGTCTTTCTAATGCAATAATATTACTTTCTTCTATATTCTTTGTACTTTTTTTTCCTATTAAATTTCCATATAATTTTTCATCACCTTTCCATTCATCCAAACAAATTTTCAAAAAATTTTCTCTATTCAATTCCCACTCCTTTTGTTTACAATCTTCCATTATAATCATTTGTATTTCTATCATAGTTTTCCACTTTGGCTTTCTTTTTAATGTAAAAAAATTTTCCTTATTTTTTATTTGTACCTCTTGGTCCTTCATTTTTTTTTCTTCTACTTTTCGTACTTCTTTACTAGTATTTGTTTTTTCTTTATATTCTTCAAGTTCATCTTTTATTTCTTTTATTTTCACTTTGTTTTCATTTTCATTTACATTTTCTTCTATAAAATTTATAAGCCATTTTTCCATGCTTTCATTTTCTATCCATTTATTATTCATTTCTTCCCAATATTTCTTCCATATAATTTTTTGCTCATAAATCATAAAATTTTTAATTCTTTCTTCATTATTTTCTGGTAAGTTTTTTTTACTTAACTCTTCCATATATTTTTTTTCTTTCTTATTCCAATCTATTTTCAATTCAATAAACCAATTTTCTCTTATTAATTTTTCTAATTCTTCTTTTTTATTTTCTAATATAATATTTCCTGTTATTTCTTTTTCTATTTCCAATATTTCTTTTGGATTTATCGTTCTTTTCAATTCTTCTATGCATGTTTTAAGAAATTCATTTTTTATCATCATCCTCTCCTCTTTTTTACATTCCTTTAATACCATCATATGTATATCAATCCATAATTTCAATTTTAAATTGTTTTTCTTTGAATCTTTATCTGATTTTCCTTCTCTTTCTATTTTAATATATCCTTCTTCACTATCTTCTCCTTCTATATTTTCTTTTATTTCTTCTTCTATTCTGTATTTTTCTAATAATTCATTAAACCATTTTTGGTCATAAGAATCATGCAACCACTTTATATGCTTTTTTATCCAATTCCTCCATATAACTTTTTGCTTTTCCAAAGGATTATTTAAATCATTTTCTGTACTTTTTATTATCCTTTCTTCTTTTATTATTTCTGAATAGTTAACTTCCTCTTCTTTCCATTCTCTCTTCAAATTTTCAAACCATTTTTCCTTTTTCCATTTTTCTAAATTCTTTTTATACCCTTTTTTATGCTGTTTCCACAGAAGTTTTTTTTTTTCTAGCTTAATAGTAATATTATCCTTTTTCTCATTTTCTTTTGTTATATCTAAATATATACCTTCTTTTTTTAATTCTTCCAGACATATATCAAAAAATACTTTCCTGTTCTTTTTCCATTCCTCCTTTTTACATTCGTCCATTACTATCGTATATATTTCTATCATAATCATCCACTTTAATTTTTCTCTTATTATAGCAATATCACTTTTTGTTTTTATATTTATTGTATTTTCTTCTGATTTTTCTTTAAGTGTATTATCTATTTCATTTTCAAATACAATTTTACATAATGAATTATTTGTTTTGTTACATACATTATTGAGTTGAATATTACTTTCTAGTAATTCATATGGAATATCTAAAGGCGTCTTTATATAACTCATTGAACTTTCTTTATGATTTTTCCTTTTTGCATGCTTTTTCTTTTTCTTTGATCCTTTACTACCAGGTAAAAATCTAGTAGGTCTATGCTATTACATAAATAGAAAATTTTAAGTATATAATATATAAATTTTTAATGATAATAAGATAATAAATAAGAAAAATAATTAAAAGAAATGCAGTAATATATATTTATAATAATTTCACCTTACCTTATAAAGAATAATGAAAAGGAAAATAATTAATAAAAGTGATGCACCCAATGAAAGGGCAATCAACGCAGGGATATTTGATGTACATGTGGGAGTGTTAGGATTATCAGTTGTTACATTTGTAGTAGTGTTTTGAGCAGGTATTGGAGTAGTGGTTAGAATGTTATTAGGTGTTACACTTGTAGTAGCATTTTGGACAGGTAGTGGAGTAGTGGTTAGAATGTTATTAGATGTTACACTTGTAGTAGCATTTTGGACAGGTAGTGGAGTATTGGTTATAATGTTATTAGATGCAATATTTGGTATATTATCATTAGAGTTGTTTACATTAACATAATAATTTGTATAAGTAAGAGAACTATTCACAGATGAATTAAATGTAGATTTATTAGTAATAAAAGTGGAATTGTATATCATAGTACTTGAAATAGTCTTAGTTGTATCTGTAGGTACAGGTAATGTAGATCCAGTTATATTTGTGGATATATCTACATGAGAAGACATATTTTTTATTTGTATTTTAGTTTCAGGTGTTAGAATAGTACTAGGTATAGCTGATTTAGTTGTAGATATACTTGAATTTGTAGAAGTAAGTGTAAATAATTCTCCAGATGTATTTGTATTTGCGTACGCACTTATAGGTAAATTTGTAGATACATTCTCAGCTTTGGTAGTAGATGTGGGTGTGGATGTATTTCCAGATGATGTAGTAGTTTCAAATATAGTTGTTGGTTGAGTTTCATTTACGTTTGCAGATGTAAGAGAAATTGACGGTATATTTAAAGTGGTGTTAGAAGATGATGTGGAATTAATTATAGGTGCTTGAATAGTTGTAGACATATTTGTTTGAATGGCAATAGATGGTAAAGTAATGTTAGATGCAGATGTTGGAGTAGCTGGAGACGATTCTGCTTGTGAATTTCCAGATATATTTGCATTTATAGATCTAAATGTGGGAGAAATTGAAGATTCACTTGAATCTCTAACAGATGGCGATATGACTTCATTTCTAGATGTTGGAATATTATCATTTATAACTTGTTTTTCTATAGGATTCATTGCCTTTACAGGTAAAGCTATAGGTAAATCTTCATCTAAATGTGTAGACATAGTAGTTGATGCTAACTTTGGCGTAGATCTTGGTGTTGGAGTAGTAGGAGGTACATCTCTTTGTGAGATTCCAGATTCACTTGCTTTTAGAGGTGCAGGTATAGGTAAATTTGGATCTGAATGTATAGACGCAATAGTTGATGTTAACTTTTGTGTAGATCCTGGTGTTTGAGTAGCAGATTCAATTGAAGGATTTGATGTAATTTCAGTTGTAGTTGTGGAGTTTATTGTAGTGGTAGATAAAGTAGTAGTATCATTTGGTTTTTTTGTAGTAGTTTCGATTGTAGAGTGATCAGATCCATTACCAAATGAACTATCAGGAGTTAAATGTTGAGACTGATTACAGTTTTTTGTTATTTTAGAATCACAAGAATTGTTTTCTTTCTTATTAATTCTAATACAGTCTAAACTAGTGACAAATGTATTCATATCATTAAGTGTACAGTTTTTAGAAATTTCTAAATTTTCATCAAATGTCATTTCTTGTTCATTAATCCAATTTTTATTTACAAAATATGTTTTTTTCTCATCTAACCAATTACTGTAATTTGTACATTTCTCTTCTGTTATATTTTTATTTAATTCTTGCAAATGTTCCTCTTTATCCTCACAAAAATCTTCGATAACTTTTTTTTTATCTCTTGTAACTTTCTTATCCTTATTCTCTTTTCTTTGGCATATATCACTGATTGATGATTTTAGTTTATTAACTACACATTCCTGATTTTCTGCCCAAAGTTTATTAATACTTCCCAATAAACGGTATTGATTTCTAAATTTCATGAATGCATCCCTCCTATCATCCACCCAATAATTGAAATATCTACAGAGTCTCTTTTTCATTTTTGGAGACTTTTCCCCTTTAATTTGGAGAATTCTCGAGTCAACAGCAGCATAGAATGTTTTCCTCCAATGTTTGAGATGATAATTTGGTAATGCACGAGATGATAAGTCTCTAGGTTTTCTCCTAATTGGTTCTTTTTCTGTATCCATTATATATTCAATTATAATTATCTTGTCATATTCTATTATTTTTTTTTAATAAATAATTTTAAAAAACCATAACATATATATTTATATGGTCATTAAATGAATATTTAATATTACGATCATATAAATATTAAAATTAAGACAATATAAAGGACATATTAATAAAAAATGAATAATTCTTTATTTCTACTATAACATTTAATTCACCATATTATTGCATATTAATTAAATTAATTAAATTTTTAATTAAATTTCCGTTTTAATATGATCTCATAATATTATTTAATACATTAATAGAATGTAAAGTTTCTATATTTCCAAAATAAAAATAAGTATTTTTTAATGCAAACAATCTTTTAATTTTCAACTAACGTATTTTATAATAATGTAGTTATTTTTAGATAAAACTAATATGTATAATTAAGTAAAAAAATGCAATGATAGTTAAAATTACAAAGTGATATAATTAAAATTAAAAAATTAAGAGAGAAAAAAAATATTATAAAATTTTTCCATTTATAAATGTAACATATTTTTTTATTATTATACATTATTGAATAAAATATTTTTAATTTATAGTGTAGAACAAATAAAATTTCAATTTTTTTTTCTTTACATAATTTCTAAATAAGTGTAATTATTTATTACTAAAAAAAATTATTTTTTTCTAATAATTTTTTTAGAAAAATTTAAATTATTTTTAGTTAATAATCATATAATATGAAAGGAATAAAAAACTTTAAACTTAATTGTTTTAAGCTAAAAAAAATATATAAGAAAACTAGTGTAATTATAGTTGAATTTTTTGTAATTGTTTAAGGATTATTTATATGAGTTATTTAGTTTTAATTCATTTATTTTAAAAACTACTTTCTCTAGTTTTTCATTTCTTTTCTCTCTTTTATCTCTATTTTTTATTATAACTTTTACACTTTTTTTTAGATTGTGATTCATCAATTTTTAATTTGACTTTTTTTATAGTTTTCTAAGCTGTAAAAATAGCAAAAAGCTTAAATAAAAAATTCCTTTTGTTTTATTTTTTCCAAAGTAAATTATAGATAATCATATATCTTTTATATAATTATACGATATAAAATAAAATATAATAAAAAGATTTTATATCTTTTAATCAAAATTTTTATTGTTCATATAAAAATATTATCTGCTATTTTTAAAACTTAAATTATTAATACATTAATGTTACATTAAAATTGAAGTTATTTTTTTTTCTTATGGTTTTACTCTAAAAAAAATAATTTTTTTTTTAAACGTAAATAAATATACCTACACTCTATTATAACTATTTTATTATGAATATTTTTGTGCATGTACCTTTATAATCATATTATATACGCACCTTTTGAATATGTTTGCATGCAGTGGCAATCTCTGTACGTAGTACACTTTTACCATATTAAAATTTAAAAAGTGTTAGTTATATATTTTATTAGCTATTTAGAACATTTAAGTTCTTATATTCAAATTTATACTTTTTTAAATATTAATTTAATATATAAATAGATAAATTTTAATTAATAATGTAAAATCAATTAAAACATTAATAATTTTTATAAAAAGTAAAAACTGGTCCATTAATTTATAAAAGCATAAAATGAGAGTATTTATATTTTTCTGAAAAAATAATAACGTAAATCTCAAAATATATGAGATTAACTCAGAAAAAGTACTCTAATAATTAACCTCAAAAAGAGAAAATAAAAATATTATGATTCCTTTTTTTCTTATTCTAACTATGATTTTTATTAAAATATATGGTAAAACAAATTTCAAAAAAAATTGCAATTCATTCATTTCTTTATATTTTATACATGTGAATTATATTTACAAACAATACTTAATACCATTTTAATATAAAAAAAAATAAAAGATTAATTATTATATATTTAAAATTATTCATATAATCATAGTTTTAAAAACATAAAATAATTAAATTTATTTAATGTGTAATATATTCTTATATTTTTAAAGACATATTCATATTTTTTATTTATAATTAGATATTCTTTAACAAAATAAGTAAAAAGAAAAAAAAAAAAAAATAAAGATATTTCATTTTTATGCACACCTTGTTACTCTACCATAAGTAATTTTAAAATGATATATTTACGAATTTTCTAGATTTAATTTTATTAGATTTTTGTTCAATTTTCGTTTAACTTTGTTTTTATGTTACATTTAACAATATTTATATTATCATTTATATTCATTCTAATTTTTTTTTAATTTAAACAATTTTTTATCTTTTATAATATAAATTTTTTTATCATTATTTGTTTTATTAATTTTATGTTCAGTGACTTTGTAATATTGAACAAGCTAATTAATAAAAGGCATATAAAGAAATTTCAATTTATTTTATTAAATATAAAATAAAATATTACTCAATTTATTCAATCTTGTTAATTTTAAATTTAAATTTATTATTCTATTTATTATTTATGTTAATTTAATCATTAGTCTATAAAATATAATATTAAATATTTCATTTTTAACTTTTTAACTAAAATATTATATAAGATACATCAAAAAAAAAAATTATATATATATATATATATATATAAAAAAATTTTTTTTTAAGAAATTAATTTTATTTAGAAGATTTAAATGTGCCTATTTTTTCCGCATATATAGTATACACACATAATAATATATTTATTTTATTCATTTGTATATTATTTAAAATAGACTAATGATAACATTTATAAAAAATAATCGATCACCTTTCTAAAAATAATAATATTATTTTATTTTATTTTCATTTCCCTGTTCTACAACCTTAAGAACTTTTTATATATCATTATTTGTATTATCTTTCAAGTCATATGGTTTTATATTTCTTCTTTTACAAATGTCCACACAATTTATGGGTTCCAACTGATGCATAAGTAATGATTTTTTTTTTATTCCATCTATTTATTGATCTATAAATATTATTATCTGACTGTTTTAAATAATATTTAAATAAATGAATCTTGTAAAAACATTTTTATTTATATATACAAATATACAGATAAATTATATATGTATAAACATGTATCCTAATAAAAAAAGTACACAAAAGGTACATGTACTAAAAAAAAATATTGCACTAAAAGTATGACATTAAAAAAATATGTATTTTTCTTTTTTGAGGACGATGAATATGAAATATCTTTTTTTATGAAAAATTAAAAATATAATTTTAATTGTGATATACGTGAAATACCATGTAAATTAGCAAACATGGTGATTTACTAATGTTATTAATATTTTTTACTAACAAAATTAAACAATTTGATCAATATTTTAACTTAATAAAAATAAAATTAGTAAAGATATTTATGCATGCTCTTCATTAATTAGTTTGTTAAATACTGGCAAGGTTATGGAATGTAGCAACTAACAAATCATTGATATATATTCAACTATTCATTTGAGTCTCATATATCTCTTTAGCCTTATTAACTAATAATTTCACTTTATTAAGTTATATTTGAATTGTTATACCTCTATAATGTTGGTTTATTAATTAACTTTTCAATGAATTTTATAGTATTTTGAATAGATTTATTAATTGTATGTTGGTTGATTTTTCTTTTGTTGATAAAAAAAAATTAATAAGGAACATGTAGAAAGATCTTATGTTATTTATGATAAAATTAATTTCTGTACGTAATATTATATCTTACATATAACTACCCGTTAACAATAAATTAAACATATTTATTTTATATCATAATTTTTATTACATGGAACAATAGTTTTTATAAAACTAAATAAAATTTATTTTACTATTTACTCATTAAAAAAAGAGGAAAAAAAAAAAAGAAAATTTAATTTTTTTTAATAAAAGCATGCCACATCGTATATATTTTATAAATATACCTATCCTACATTTCATAAAATATAATTTTTCTTTCCAAGTTACTATGTGATTTTTCTGTCCCTAATGAAATTTTTTGCACATGTCATTGTAGATATATATACATATATGTATGTTAATTATATTGCATGCATAGAAAACTCCTTAAAATAGGCAATTATCATTATGTATATTCTCAAAAATGTTGATAAACTTTTATTTACTATATATATAGATACTGCTTTTAGTTTTTTATTTCTAATTTTAGTTATCCTATATGGAAAAGATCAGTAAGGATTGAATTAATTATTAGAATCATAATCTTTTAAGTGACTTTGCTCATACTTTGATAATTCATTTAAAATGACAATATCAGAATTAAAGTTTTAGATATCTATCAATTATTTTTCTTTTAATATATTTAAATCTTTACATGTCCTTTTCTATCCCTCATTTAAATAAATTGATCTTATTAATGATATAATTTAAAGCGAAAATTTTGAATAATCAGAACATATATAATCCATTTCAAAAATCAAAAATTAAGGTGTTATTCTAAAGCCTCATAATTATTATTTTATATATAAATACAGACATTTTAACACTTTCTTAATAGACATACCTTTTTCTTCACATATGATCTTAAGTATATTGTAAAAACTCTTATGAGTGCTTTCATTAATAATTTTTCCTCCAGGATAGTAAGAACTAGTACGGAGCAGTCTTACTTGAAATTATTCTATAACATACTCTTGAAATTCTTGGCTCATACAAATAGAACCACAATCTGTAGGAGCGTTCCTAGGACAGTGATTTATTAATTTTTTATTCAAAGACTTTGTTAGAGTAATGATCAAGAAGATTAACAAAGAGCATGCAAAGTATCCGACACTATTTTAATGAATTTAAGTATAATTTTAACGCTACAAACACGTAAACTGTGTTTATATAGCTTACTTCATTGAATATTTATTTCTTTTAAGAAGCACATATTTACTTTAATAAAAACCTTATATTTTTATTAAAAATTTAAATCCTCATGAGCTATAGATTTTAATTACATGAATTATATTTATAATGTTATAAGTATTTTTAAGCAATTTAAATCTATTGCTCTTAAATTAATAAATATATATAATTAACAAAATGCGGAATAAATTATATAAATACAACAAGATATAAAAATCTTATTATTGTTAATATCAAATTTTCTTATATGAATTTAAAACAAAATATACTACAAGAAACTTTTTAGGCAGTAATCATTCTTTTTAATTTTTCGACAATAAATTATTTAAACAAAAAAAAAAATATGCGTATTATTTTTTTTTTTAATGTCATTTAAAATATACGAAAAGAAAACCTAAAAAATTAACAACTTTTTTTTTTTTAGAGATTGAATTACTAACTATTTATTTTCTATACAGTTCTTATTTTTTATTCTCAAAAAGATCAAAATACCTTTTGTAAATCATTGTACTTAAAAAAAAAAAAAGAATTATATAAATATTTTTCTTTTTGCATATGATTTTGACTTCAAAAAAAAATATAATAATAATATTCTTATTTAATATTTCATTTTTTTTTTATTATTATAAAAAAAAAAATTATTTTTTTTTCGGATTGTTCATAAATTATTATGGAGTGTATATTTTTATATTAAGTTAAAAAGTAATGTTAAAAAAATTACATTTATGGAGTTAGTATAAATTATCCAAAAAAAAAAAAATAATTAATTAATAAGTTGCACATAATGTTGATTAATAAAAATAATGATTCTGATATAAAATTTTAATTAAATTAAAAATTAAGTTGAGTTTACTCTAAATGACCTTTATCAATTTGTTCGTTTGATACTAACGAAGACTTTTAACATGCAATTTACAAATAATACTTCCGAAGATAAAAAATTTTTTTATTTTTTTTTTTAAGGAAAAAAATTACAAAAAAATAAAGTCAACATCATTTTTTTTTATTATAATTTTTAAGTGTGCGTCATGTTCCAAAAAAAAAAAATATATATGATATTTTTTTTTTCTCTTAATTGTAAATATACAAATGAACAAAAAAAAAAATAATTATTATTTATTTATTTATTTTTAGTGTATTCACTTTTAGTGCAAGTGTATTTTTTTTTAGTGTACATATTTTTTTTTAATAACTATTTTAGTGTACGTATTCTTGATAGAACATTATCCCAATAATTCATCATACACAAAATAAAATGTTTTTATCATATTTATTAATATAAATATTATACAAAATAGGTCTGTAGTATTATTTATAGACTAGTTAATTAAAAATGAAATTGATTTGAAAAATATTGAATTAATATGAAAGTACTAGAGAGAAAACAGTAATACAATGAAAGGAAAAAAGAAAGAGAAAAATAAAAATACAACAGTATTATATCAAAAGAACTTGTAAGAAAAAGAAATAGAGTTAATAATGTATTTAATGATGGATAGTTAAATAAAACAACAGAGCATGAACAACACATATAGGAAATAAGAAAAAGCGAATCATCTTTTAACATATTACAAAGAGATGAAAATAATAAAAGGTTTTTTGTAAATAAAAAACAGATAGTTTAAATAAATGGAAGGAAGACAAATCTTTTTTTAGAAACTTGGTTAACAAAAGACATTAACTTTTTAGAGAATAAAAAGTAATAGTTGTATGAAAAATAAATAGTTAGTTATACGAGCGTTAAATAAAAGAAAAAAATTAGTTAATTTTTTTCTTTTGCTTTTCTAAATTTAAAATATATATAAAAAAATGCATTTTTTTTTTATAAAATGATTTATGTTCAAAAAATAAAATTGCTGGCAAAAAGATTTTTTATAGTATGCTTTGTTTAAATTTATATAGGAAAATTTTATATTTATGATTATAAAATTATTGTGCTTCGTAGTATTTATATAATTTATCCTATGTTTTGTTAATTATGTATGTTTATTAATTGGAGAACAATAGATTTGAATTTCTAAACACTATTTATTATATTATAAATAAAATATATATAATTAAAAACAATAATTAATGATTTAAATTTTTAATTAAAAATAAAAGAGTTTTATTAAGGTAAATAAATTCCTCTTAAAAACAACAAATGATCAATAAAATAGATTATGTATATAAAACAATTTACCGATTTATAGCATAAAAATCATACATAAACTGATTAAATTAGTAGTAGTATTTCTATATGCTCTTTATTAACTTGTTTGTTCAATATTCTAGAAAAGTCACTGAAGAGACAATTAGTAAATCAAGACAATAGTAACAAATTTAAAAAAAAATATTATATGTGTATTTTTATTTTTAAAAAAGAAATGATTTTTTTTTTTTAAATTCTTTTTGGGAGATAGATAAATGTAACAATTTTTAATAATTTTGTGTGGAAACTATTATGGAGTATGTTAAAAACTATGAATTTCATAATATATACGTGGTTAATAAAAGGAATTATAAATCTTTTTTGAGAATTAAAATATCTAGTTGCATGGAAAATACACATATATATAAGCACATAATAAATAAAAAAAAAAAAAAATTTTGGTCTGGAAAAAATAATATTCAAAAGAGATGAGAAATAAATTATTTTTGAGAGAGTTTCTTTGCAATGAATTATTATTTTTAGTTACTTTTTTAAGAAAATGTTTTACATGCATAATAAAATATTCATGTTTGTAGTATCTATATAATTTAATTTGTATCTTATTAATTACTTATGTTTGCTAACTTGATATAAGAGACTTGAGTTGCTTAACATTATAAGTAAAAATATATTTCACTAAAATCTATATTTTATGAGGATTTAAATTTTTAAATAGGGATTTTTATTAAAGTAAGCAAATGTCTCTTAAAATTAAAGAATTCTCAACAAGGTAGATTACGTAAATAGAGTAATTTTGTAGAATTTAAAATTATATATAAATTCATTAAATTAGTAGAGATAACTTTATTTACTGATTAATATGTTCGTTTAGTACTCTAAGAAAATCATCTAATAAGCAGTAACAAATCAATACATTAAATTTATTAGAAATTGATATTTATATAATAATTATATAATAACATTCATAAACTACTTTTACAATAAAATGAATAAGTACAAATAACATTGCATGCTCTATTAATTTGATTAACTAAAGCACTATAAATTTCTTTAAATAGATAATTAATAAATCATAAAGTCATTGAATGGACAATTAAAAAATCATCACACAAAGAAAAAACCGACATATTATATTTATTTTTTGTGTGTTTTTAAAGTCATAAAAAATAATATTTTATTTTTTTTAAGTTTCATAATCCTAAAATCTATAGAAATTTTATTAAAAAAAAATGATGATAGTTTTTTTTTTTAATAGAAAAAAAAATATCTTTTAATAAAAAAAAAATAATTTTTTTTTTTCATAATGCGATGTATATTATTTTTTTTTTGAATTAAAACTTAAAAAATATAATTTTAAATATTACATTTATATGGAACAAATAAACAAAAATAATAAATAAAAGAGCTAAAATTTAATATTAATGTAAATAAATGAATTATGTAATAATTTATTTTATTCCTAATAAAATAAGCATGGCTAATTTCTACATGTTTTTTATTAATTTGTTTTCTCAATACTATGAAAGTTAATGAACAAGAAATTAACAAAGCAATATTATGATGAATTCAGTGAATGACAATTAATAAATCAATAACTGAACATTTAGAAATATTTAAATTTATTTATTAATAAATATTCAATAAGATGGATAATAAAATTTATTGATAATTTCTAGAATTATTTTTATTGTTTCGCGCATTTTTTCAGTCTCTTAATTTATATATTTTTTTTTTTTTATTTCATTCTTTATTTATAAATTTTTACTATTGTTTTCTGTCAACTCTTTACAAATATCTCCCTATTGTTTTTTCCATATCATTTCATAACTTTCTAACGTTGGGTTTCTTGTTATATTTTAGTTCACTTTTATTAATATTTCATCATTTATTTCCTTCATATATTTCTTTTCATTATTTTTCATTTGTAACTCTAATTCTTCAATTCATTTTTGATTTTACCATTCTTCTATTTCCTCTTTTTTTTTCTTTAATATATAATTTCAATTTCATTCCTCTCCTATATTTTCCAATATATTTGCTTCTTCATCAAAATTTTCTTGCATTCTTAACCCTTTCATAATCGTTTTAAAAAATTCATCCTTTTCTTTTTCCCATTCCACATTTTTACATTCCTCTAGTACCATCATATGTATTTCTATCAACACTTTTTGTGTCAACTTTTTCTTTTTACTACATTTCTCTATTTCTTCATTTCCTTCTTGTTGTAACTCTTCTATATTTTCATGAATTCCATTCACTTTTTTCTTATTTCTTTTAGTTATTCCTTCCTTACATTCTTCTTCTTTTTCATATTCGGCTAATAAATCATTAAGCCATTTCTCCTCATTATGTTCTATAAACCACGCTCTTTGTTTTTTTAGCCATTGTCTCCATATTTTTTTTTGTTTCTCTAGCATAGGATTTTTTCCTACTTCTATATCTTTAATTTCTGATTCATTCGTTATTTCTTTAAATTTTTCTTGTTCTTGTATCCATTCTTTTTTCAAATTAATAAACCATTCTTCTTTTTTCCATTTCTTTAACATACTTTTATTTCTTTCTACCCATTTTTTCCATAGAAGTTTTTGTTTCTCTATCATTATTGTATTAATGTCATCTTCCCCTTCTTTTATCATTGCCAAATCATTTTCTATTATTTTTGGATATTTTTCTTTATCTTCGTCTATAAATTCTTCTAAACAGGTTTCTAAAAATTTTTCTCTATTCAACATCCACTCCTCTTTTTTACATTCCTCTAATACAATCATGTGCATTTCTATTATAGTCTTCCACTTTAATTTTTTTTTCTTTATTATAGAATTTATATTTTTATCTGTATCTTCTAGATGAGTCTTTTCATATATTTTAACTTTTTCTTTTCCTTTTCTATTAATCTTTACTATTGTATTAAATCTTTCTCCATTTTCCCTTTTTTTATCTATACTCTTTTTAGTAATTTCACTTTTATATTCATTCTCTTTATTTTCAATTTCAACAACCAATTTTGTAAACCATTCTTCTTTGTTATCATTTTCTATCCATTTTTTACGCATATCTTCCCAGTGTTTTTTCCATATAATATATTGCCTTTCTAATGCAATATTTGTTTTTCTTTCTTCATCTTTTTTTTCCGAAATTTTTTTATTTAATTCTTCTATATATTTTTGTTCATTACCTTTCCATTCTAACATTAACTCCACAAACCATTTTTCTCTTTTCCATTTTTCCATATCCTCTTTTTTTTTTTCTAATATAGAATTCCAACTTCTTTCTTCCTCTATTTTTTCTAATACATTTACTTCTTCATCTAAATTTTCTAGTATTCTTAACTCTTTCATAATTGTTTTAAAAAATTCATCCTTTTCTCTTTCCACTTCTTCTTTTTTACACTCCTCTATTACCTTCATGTGTATTTCTATCAACACATTTTGTATTAACTTTTTCCTTTTTCTACATTTCTCTATTTCTTCATTTCCTTCTTGTTGTAACTCTTCTATATTTTCATGAATTCCATTCACTTTTCTCTTATTTCTTTTAGTTATTCCTTCCTTACATTCTTCTTCTTTTTCATATTCGGCTAATAAATCATTAAACCATTTCTCCTCACTATGCTCTATAAACCACGCTCTTTGTTTTTTTAGCCATTGTCTCCATATTTTTTTTTGTTTCTCTAGCATAGGATTTTTTCCTACTTCTATATCTTCAATTTCTGATTCATTTGTTATTTTTTTAAATTTTTCTTGTTCTTGTATCCATTCTTTTTTCAAATTAATAAACCATTCTTCTTTTTTCCATTTCTTTAACATACTTTTATTTCTTTCTACCCATTTTTTCCATAGAAGTTTTTGTTTCTCTATCATTATTGTACTAATCTCTTCTTCCCCATTACTCATCGTTACTAAATCATTTTTCATTATTTTTGGATATTTTCCTTTATCTTCGTCTATAAATTCTTCTAAACAGGTTTCTAAAAATTTTCCTCTATTCAACATCCACTCCTCTTTTTTACATTCCTCTAATACAATCATGTGCATTTCTATTATAGTCTTCCACTTTAATTTTTTTTTCTTTATTATAGAATTTATATTTTCATCTGTATCTTCTAGATGAGTCTTTTCAAATTTTTTCACTTTTTCTTTTACTTTTCTATTAATCACTGTTATTGATTCACCACTTTTCCTATTTTTTTCATTTTCTCTTTTTTTCTCAATATTCTTTTTACTAATTTCATCTTCATATTCTTTATCTTTACTTTCAATTTCATCAATCAATTTTGTAAACCATTCTTCTTTATTATCATTTTCTATCCATTTTTTACGCATATCTTCCCAGTGTTTTTTCCATATAATATATTGCCTTTCTAATGCAATATTTGTTTTTCTTTCTTCATTTTTTTCTTCCAACATTTTTTTATTTAATTCTTCTATATATTTTTGTTCATTACCTTTCCATTCTAGCATTAACTCTACAAACCATTTTTCTCTTTTCCATTTTTCCATATCCTCTTTTTTTTTTTCTAATATAGAATTCCAACTTCTTTCTTCCTCTATTTTTTTTAATATATTTTCTAACTCATCTAAATTTCCTTCTATTCCTAATTCTTCTGTGTTTGTTTTAAACAATTCATCTTTTTCTCTTTCCAGTTCTTCCTTTTTACATTCCTCTAATATCATCATATATATATCTATTAACATTTTTTTTGTTAAATTTTTCTTCATTTCATATTTATCTATTTCATCATTTTTTTCTTTCTCTTGTTTTTCTACACTTATTTTTTCAATTTTTTCTTCCATTATATTTTTATAAATTCTATCCTTTTCATATTCTTCCAATAACTTCATAAACCAATCCTGCTTTTTAAATTCATTTGAATGTTCTCTTTGCTTTTCTAACCACTTCCTCCATGCTTTTTTTTTTATGTCTAACATTAGATTACTTATTCCTTCCACTGCTACTTTCTCAACCTCTTGTTCTTCTAAATATTCTAAAAGTTTTTCTTCTTCATTCTTCCATTCCTTTTTTAAATTAATGAACCATTCTTCTTTTTTCCATTTCTCTGGAATACTACTATTTTTTTCTGTCACAACTGTACTATTTTCTTCTTCTCCTTTCTTTAATAAATTAATACCATCTTCTTCTAAATATATAGTTTTTTCGTCTTTCTCAAACACTTCTATGCAAATTCTTAAAAATTCATTTATAATCAATTCCCTTTCTTCTTTTTTACAGTCTAGTAATGCTATAACCTGTTTATCCGCCCATGTATTACAATTACACACTTCACCCATGATTGACATTTTATCCTCTGAATTTTTAATTTCCTTTTCATATGTAGATTTTTTAGTTTCTACATTTATTTCATTTGTTCCTTCCTCTTTTAATGTATTATTCCTGATATACCCTATAACGCTAACCTCGTTTTTTTTTAATCCACTTTTAATCAATTTTTCTTTTTTAATTTTACCTCTAGATCTGTTTTCATTCAATTCATCTTCTTCAATTTCATTTTTAGTATCATCCTTATTTAATTTTTTTTCTTCTATTAAAGACTCATTTTTGTGCTTCGATACATCTTCTACAACTTCATGTACGCGTTCTTCTCCACTTTCCATGTATATTTCTTTACATTCCATCGATTTATTCATATGCCTATGTTTTAAATTTCTTTCACTTTCAAAACTAATTTCACACACTGGAATTTGTTTTTCGTTGTGCAACAACGAATATTTACCACTATTTATCGTTTCACTATCTCTATCATTTAAAGACATTAATAACGGTTCCTTTGAAATTTTCTTCATCTTTTTTCTTACTTTTCTTTTCTTTGATTTACGATTGCGAAACCAGGATCCAATAAAAGTGTACTATAATTCAAATTAAAAATTATGCAATTATAAAAAATTTTTTATTTAAGTTATAAAAATTTTAAATATATATGTTTTTGCATTTTTAATTATCAATTTTATCTTACTTTACAGAGAAGAATTAAAAAGAAAATAATTCCCAAAATGAATATACCTACTGGAACGATTGTTATTAATATATTTCCTGTAGGATTAACTGTAGGTGTAACTTCAGTACTGTTATTCAATGGGTTTTGTGTAGTAGAATTATTTGAAACAGTCATACTCGAAGAATCTACATTTACATTAGTTTTTAATGCACTATTATGAGTCATATTTAAAGGTGCAATTACCTTATCCTGTATAATAGAGGCAGGTGTATTCTGCGAGTTTTGTGCTATGGGATTGCTTGTTACCAATAATGATGTAATATAATTTTTTGTAGGAGATTTAGTTGCATTATTAGTTGTATTGAAAATTATAGATTCTAAAGATGTAGGTAATGTTGTATAAGAATTACTATTAGATATGGATGAAAATCTAGTAATGTCTGTAGAAGATATACTACTAATAGTAGGATGAATAGTGTCATCTTTTGCAGTGTACATTAAATTATTTGTAGATACAACTGCGCTATTTAATATAGGTTTAGTCATAGAAGTTATAGAAATACTTGAGGAAGATGAATTTGAATCTATAGAAGACATTGTTGAAAGGGGAAATATTGTCGTAGGAGAAGATGAAGACCCATTTGTCATAGATGTAGTATTATCGGTTAAGGGATGAACGGTGATAGTAGGGGGTGTAGTTATATCATCTGAAGGAGACGTAGAATCATTCACGGAAGGTGCAGTTCTAATAGTAGGAGTAGGTACAATAATAGAAGGCGTAGATTTGTGTGGAATAGATGTAATGCTACTGGTAAGAGAAGGCTCAATTTCAGATGAGGTTGTAGGAAATGCAGTATCTGTAGAATTGTTAGTAATAGTTGGAGAATGAGTATCATTATTTTTTAAATAAGATGTAGAATCATATGTAGATGGTGGAGTTACAATTGTAGGAGAAATGGCATAACTATTTGTATTAGATGAAGATTGATTTACAGAAATGGATGTAGTACCATGTACATTAGGTCCAACTATATTTACAGAAGGTGAAAGTTGATACTCATTTGTTAAAAGAGTTGCACTACTAGTTAGGGGCTCAACACTAATTGTATGTTTAGAGCTATCTTTTGAAGAATATGTATTACTACTTGCAGAAGACATATCACCACTTACAGAAGAAGTTGAAACTGATGGTTCAGTTGTATGCAAGACAGATCCAGGAGTAGTACCTGAAGTTAAAAAATTAGATTGTGTTGTAACTTCTGAAAAAGTTGCGGTTATAGCTTGTAGTTCAGATTTGTTATCTGATGTTGATGGCTTTAAAGTAATATTTATAGGTGTACTTGTAGTTCTATTATTATTTATACTACTAAATGTACCTGTATTATTATCTATTGAATTCGTCGCAGAAACAATATATGGAACATTGGAAATTCTATTTGTAGATTGGAAGTTATCTGGTAATGGAGTTGAAACATCTGAAGTTAGATTTGATCCATTAATATTGTTATCTGAATGAACCCATGCTAAATCATATGGATTATTTGAACTTTCTCTCCCTTTAATTTTATGAATTAACTCTGTCATATTACATTGATTACTTGTCAGATCTAATGTATAAGTTTCCAAATCCCTACTAAAAGTATTCCATGTATTAATAGAATCCTGTCTATAAATCTCTTCGGAATGAATTTCATTGTTATTCATATTAATAAATAGCTTCCCTCTCTTATATATATACATACTCCACTTTGCACAATTAAGTTCAGATCTATCTTTATGATATGCATCAAAATAGTAATTAGATATATCATAAGTAAGATTGTAAAACATAGTCCGTCTTTGATCAATAATTTGAGATTTATTAATATAATATATACCATCATTGAGTTGATCATATGTTAATGATGTTCTTATTGGTAGATCTTTATTTTCATAAGGGCTAGTGCAGTTATTACTTTTATTCAAAATAGGACAATAATGAAACTTTCCAATATTACATGTTGAATTTGTTTCTGTAAGTATATGTGTTTCAAAAGAATTTTGTTTTTTATTCCAATCTTCAACGAGGCATGAGATATTATAATTTTCTTTTTTACTTAATAGCAAATTAACATAATCCATGCCTCTCCAATCTATGTATGTAGATACCTTTTGACATTTTTCTGTTGAATTAGCAATTTTATCATCTTGAAGATAAAATTCAAATTCATTATAAGTATCATTCATAAATGTTTGAATTTCTGTCTTGAAAGGAATTGTATCATTAGATAAATTAGCATTGTTTTCTGCTGCATTTGTTTCATTGGACATGCATGGAATTTCTTCTAATTGTGATAATAATCTTGCATTTTTTGAGGTAGAGTTTTTTCTCATGATTATTATATCACAACTAGGTTTTCTTAAAATATTCTGTAATAACATTTAAAAAATGATTTATTAAAAAAAATAAATTTTTATATCAATAACATATAAAAGCAAAAATTTGAGGAAGAGAAAAAGGTAATATATACAATATACATTTATTTTACATTTAATTTTTAACATACATAAAAAAGGTATTCAATAATCCAATTAAAGAAAAATAATATAATTTGACTAAAAAATTGAATACTACTATTTTTGTTATTTTGCAGTACCAATGAATACTTAAGTCACACCAGGAAATTGTTATAATTTGTATGTAGAAATGACAACACTTGTACTTATGTAATAAGTATATCATAAATTTGTTTATATGTGAAAATGTTATTTTATGTAATATAAAATAACAATTCAGAGTACAAGTAATTTTTTATTTGCTATATATGTAAAATATTAAATTATTGTAATTTTAATATAATAATGATGTAATTAATTTTTAAAAAAATGAAAAATTGTGATAAATAAAACAAAAACATAATTTATAAGATTAACATTAAGAAAAGAAAAAAATAGAAAACAATAGTTAAAGTAAAGAATTATATTATACTTGAAATTTATATGAAAAAAAGAAATCATGTTAAGGATTTTTTCTGTATTTTCTTAAATTTTTTATATAATTATATGAATATGAATATAAGTTTGAAATAATGATACAATTATTTAACTTTGATATTTTGAATGAAAAATTTAATTATTATATAATATTTTTATAGAAAATTTTTTTGAAAATGAAATTTGAACGTTTGAAGAAGTAAAATTTTATAAGTAGTATATAGAATTTATATTTAAATAAAATAATGTACTTAATAATTTATAATTATTTTTTTAAAGGATCTAATTGATACTTTCATAAAATATAAAATGCGTAAAAAAAAAATAAATAAAATACATATATATAAATTCTAAAATCGAAACTACAATATACTATTTTAGCTATTTATATATATTTTAATAAATAAATTATATTATGTTTAATAGAAGAAATATTTACAATTATGAGAAGCTACATTATTTGTTGTTAAATTCATAAATTTTAAACACTGTTCAAACTACTCTAATTTTCTTTATTTTAATATTTAAGTTTTTAGTGACAAATAAGTGCACTATAATTTAGTTTCATTTGTATAGAAATATATGTATTAAAAAAAAAAAAAAAAATTATTTTATATTAGTGGGTAATGCACTTTATTTTTTTAGTTAAAATTATATTAAACTATTTATTTTTTTATTAATTTTTATTTGGTAATATACATATATATATATATGTATATATATACATATCTAACATTATTTAAGGAAATATTTTTTATTATTTTAGGAATTTTTATTATAAACAAAAAGAAAAATAAATTATTTTTTGGTCATTTTTTTTACAATTATTTCTTATAATCTTTTTAGAAGATTAAAATAACAATAGTTTACGAACAAAAATTTTTTAGAAAAAAGATATTTATATCGAAAAAGAAAAATGAGTGAAAATATAAATCGAATTTAAGGGACTGATTGATTTTTCTTTATAAAAAAAAAATAAAAAAAAATAAATAAATATAAAATTTATTATTTTATTCAATTATTTTTTTTTTTTTATATATATATGCCCTTACAAGATAAATTACAATAGATAATTTACTGAAAACATCCATGAGAAAAGTAAATTTATTTTATTTTTATTAGTGTTTTATTTGATTTTTATGAAGGTTGATTATTTTTTTTAAGGGAATATTAAAGATGAAACATATTTTTTTATGAATATTTGTAATTATAATTATATTTATAAATTTTAATTTTTAAAAATTTAATAATTATTTAAAATTTTTTATAATTTTTGTTATTTTTATATATTTATATTATTAAGATGACATTACAATTAATAATTGAATAAGTATATTAAAAATAAAGAGAAGGTAAAAGATAAGTTGACTGTATGAATATTATGACATGGTATAAATTTTATAAAAATTTTATTGTTCAATTTTATAATATTTATTTTTAGTATGCATGCTGTGAGGAAAAGGGTGAAGGTTATGTTTAAAGGATATAAATTTATTATGATTTTAGTTATTGGTTGTTTGTTGATTTAAATTTTTTGTAATTCTATTTGTTCAGTATGGATTAATTAAATTCTGGTTATCGGTATATATTTAGTGCTTACTTTTAAGATTATTTATTTTAAAGTAAATAATTTTATTTTTATTTATTATACATTTGTGCATGTTTTATTAACTGGGTGTTGGGTGACTTTATTAGAGTACTGAACAAACGAATTAATAAAGAGCATATAGAGTTGCCTCTACGGTTTTGATGTATTTGTATATATTTTATATGCTTTGAATGAGTGATCCTTAGTTACGTAATTTACTTCATTCAGCATTCTTTAATTTCAATAGGCATTTATTTACTTTAATAAAAATCATTGATCTTATTAAAAATATAAATCCTTATTGAAAATTAATTATTAATTAATTGTAAATTACTAGTTTATTTATTATGAGTTACATTCAGCAATTAATATATATTGCTGTTGAATTAACAAACATAAACAATTATTTACAAATATCAAAAATTATACAAATATTAATTACATGAAAATTTCATTGTTATATGTATAAAACTTTCTCTTACAAAATTCATTAAAATCATAATTCATTCCCAAAAAAAAAAATCTTTTTTTTTCTTTTTTTTTTTTTTAATATTTATTTATTGGTAACAAATATTTTTCTAATTGATTTTTTAATCAATTTTTTTATCAAATTTTATTCCTAACAGAATTTGTACTTTTTTTTAAAAAAAAGTACAAACAAAAAAAAATTCATCAATTTTTTTTTGTCTGTGTGTATATGACCAGCTTCGTATTCTTCATTTAACTAGCCCTCTTATTAACCATACTCCACCACCATGGGAAAGTAATTGTTATTACTTAAAGTTTGTTATTTTTGTATTGTTTTATTACATCAATTCCTTTTTGTACTCCTTTTTCAATTTGCTTGTCCTGATTATCGTTGATATCACACATAAAAAAAAAAAAAAAAAAAAAAAAAATACATGCAGTAAAAGTACATTAAAAAAAANTTATTTACAAATATCAAAAATTATACAAATATTAATTACATGAAAATTTCATTGTTATATGTATAAAACTTTCTCTTACAAAATTCATTAAAATCATAATTCATTCCCAAAAAAAAAAATCTTTTTTTTTCTTTTTTTTTTTTTTAATATTTATTTATTGGTAACAAATATTTTTCTAATTGATTTTTTAATCAATTTTTTTATCAAATTTTATTCCTAACAGAATTTGTACTTTTTTTTAAAAAAAAGTACAAACAAAAAAAAATTCATCAATTTTTTTTTGTCTGTGTGTATATGACCAGCTTCGTATTCTTCATTTAACTAGCCCTCTTATTAACCATACTCCACCACCATGGGAAAGTAATTGTTATTACTTAAAGTTTGTTATTTTTGTATTGTTTTATTACATCAATTCCTTTTTGTACTCCTTTTTCAATTTGCTTGTCCTGATTATCGTTGATATCACACATTATGATACTACTCCGTTTATGAATATCTAGGTAATCCTTAGACTTCAAATCATGCGTAGATTTAATTTCCTTTTATTCTTATTTGTAACTTGTATTAAATTATGCAGTTGCCTTTCATATATTTCCCTGGTTTTGTTACTCAACAATTTTATTTTTGACATTGGAATTTGTACTTCTTTACCTCTATAATATATAAGTAATGCTTTCATAATTCTGCTTTCAATTTTAGCTACTCTATGAGGAAATCACTAATATGGTTTATATTGTATATTCCTACTATATTGCTTAATTTTTTTCCTTTCGTATTCGGATAATTCGTATGAGATAATATCTTAAACCTTAATATTTTTATTCTCAATTATAGGTTTTCTTTTGATTTCATTAATATGTTCATGTATGTTTTTCCATCTATCGTTTAAGTATATAATCCTAATTTCAGAAGTTTTTTCTGGTACTAATTTTGCAGATTCTGGACAGATACAATCTATTCCAAACATAGCAAAATAGAGTGTTTCTCCTATAGCTCCATGAGGTGTATTATTATATATTAGTACTGCATGTTGTACTATTTATTCAAAAGGTATATCTTTTTCTTCATATAAAGTCTTAATGATATAATCAAGCTTTTATGAGAGCTTTCATTTATACCGTTTCCTTGTGGATAATATGCGCTGGTATGATACAATTTAACCTGTAATTCTTTTGTAACATAGTAATGAAATTCTTGACTAGTATATATTGAAGCGCGATCTGTTAAAATGCTTATAGGACATCCAAATATGGGTATACATGTTTTCTTTATAATGTTAATTGCGTCCATAGCATTAGGTGTTTTATTAGTTATATTAGTTACCATAAAACGTGAATGATGATCTATTGCTAATTGAATATAGTATTCTGTACCTTTCCATGTTTTAGGTCTTATAATATCTAATGAAACTATATCAAATACATTCGGTTTTGATAAAGCTTGATTACTAATGGATTTAAATTTCGATTACGCATTACTTGACAAACTAAACAATTTGTAACATATTCTTCAATGTCTTTACTAATATTGGGCCACCAAAAATGTTTTTGTATTTTCTTTAGTGTTTTATTTACTCCACAATGTCCTGAGAATTTACTACTATGAAACCGTTACATTAAATGATTTCTATATTTCTCTAATATATATAATCCTCCTGTTCTATAGTGAACTGGGAAATCATCCTTCCATACTACGTCTCTCGGTATGTTATCTTTATCATTTCTTGCTTCATTTGCTATTTCCTCGCAAGAAGGTATAACATATAAATCTTCATATAATTCTTGAGGTTTACTACAATATAAGGTCATGTAATTAGGAAGATCTGTTTCATCTTCTATTTATATAGTGATCCAATCAGCTGAACTATTTTAAACTCCTTCAAT